AAAAAAAAAAAAAAAAAAAATGTAAACTTGATTAAAACTGATCATTCTCAATACTACAAGTCAATTCCTGAGAATTTAAATATTGCTCTCAGAATGACATTTCCATCTTCAAATTTCCAGATACTGGGGAGAGAGAGAGGAAGGGAGAGAAAAGGAAAAAGCAAACAGCCTGCTCCTAATTAAATCTTTTGCCTTGGAGCTGGGAAGCAGCGCTTTGCCCCCTGCAGGGGACACTCTCACTGTCTGACTCTCGCCCTGTGAATAAGACTCATGGCTTCTGCAAACAAGAAGGGGACTGGGCAGGCTTACGGGTGGCCGGTGGTCCATTCTGTCACTCTCCAGTTGAAGGTACTTGTGCATCAAAGCAAGCCCCAGACAAGCAAGCCCATGGTCTCCCGCGGAAGCCTACCCCTAAATCCCGACTCCCCTTAGGTGTTAAATACTCGATCCACTAAGTGGTGCTGCTCACTGATATTTACAACTGTCAATCCCGATGCAGTTTTAAAAAGTGACCTCATACTACTGACATCAACAACGCAACTGCTCTGTTTTTTAAAGGAAAACACGTGTCTCCTTCCTATCACTGTGATCTCTATAAAATTATATATTTATATTTATATATCTTTGGATTCAGCAAAAAGTAAATACTGGAAATATTCCACATTCTAAAAGCAGATGAAAAGATTACTCGAAGTGCCCGCCCAACAGGTACCGAACGAAGTTAGAAAAGTGGGAGGGGTGGGAGAACAGGGAGCGGGAGAAGAGAATGGCTCACGAAGATAAAGGGCGATAAAGGTAAGAACACATTACTGCTGGGACTGCATCTATGAAAAGAAGCTCAGAATCTCAAGTGTGTACCAATGAAATGAACAAGTAGAAACATAAAAACTTACACTACGCTTCATTTCTGTTCATATAAAAAAAGGGGTGCTTCCTCCCAGTGAGCCTGGAGTCAGGACGCAGGAAATGAATCACAGAACGTTGGGGGGATCTTCTGTTTGTTTAATTAATTGTTAAAAGTCGAGAAAGGTAAGAGCACCATTCTGTTTCTCCCCACACACGACTTCAACAAGGCAGCTCAGATCCACATGACACAACCACATCTTAAAAGACAAAGACTGACTCAGCTATGCCTCTGTCTTCAAGGTAGAATCTGTTATCTGCAAAGTACAGGCCACTACAATGGGAGTTCATGGAGTTATAACCTTGGATTTATTTTTGACCTTGAAAGGAGGGAGGGGTAGAAATTGCAAACTTCTAACTGCATTCACTGGGAGGAAAATGAAATCCACTCTAGTGGTGGTTCTGAAAATACCAGGCTTCATTTATTCATAAGGAAGTCAAATTAAATGATCTTACCTCCAAAGACTTCTAGAAATAACATGTTTGAAATTTTTAAAAAAAGGTTTTAAAAAATCAACTGGCTCTCAATTATTGCTAGAAAATGACACCAAGGCTAGTACAGATATTTGAAATCCACAGATACCCCAAAAAGCCCCATTTCATCCAAGTGTTTGAACCACCTAAGAAATCCAGCTACAAGGAACCAACCTCGATGTTCCCCTACTCTGGACTGACTGCCATTAGTGCCCAGGGGCATTGCCAGTGGAAGCGGCACGGGCAGGAGGGGGGCGCGGGGCACCTGGTTCGACGGTGGCTGGTCTGGGTACCAAACGCTGTAGGAAGTAACAGTGACACGGCTGTCCCACAGGGATGTGGTGAAAAGCTCAGGACGGTGGAATGACAGACCCTGGAAACCACACTGAAGGGGTCTGCTGCTGGGATCTCCGTGTGGAGCAGGACACAGAGCACGAGCACCCAGACCTCACTGCCTCCCGAGGTGACGGAAAGGCAGCGAGTGCAACAGGAGAAGAACCGGGACCTGCTGTTAACATCCTGACATCGTTTAACTGATGGACCGTTGAAACTCTGAAAGATTTTTTCTGTTTTAATCAAATTGTTTAATTCTTAATAACTTTGGGGAAAAAAAAAAAGTATCTACCCATCTCTAGCCTTTCCCCAAAAATTAACAAAGTGCTTAGTTCTGGTAGGGGAATTAAAGAAAAAAAGAAAGGAAAAAAAAAAAAAAAACCCTGCCAACATCTACAAAAAGGATCTCTTTGAAAAGCATTCAGAGTAAGAGACTGCAGAGAAAGAGGCAGCTAACGCTGGAGACAGGCTCAACCCTGGCGGCTGTGCCCGCCCCCGGCTGCGGGACCCAGGGGCCGGCTCATCCGCAACCTCCCCACACTGAGCTTACTGAAATCAACAGTTAAATATTTAGCTTCACAAACTCTGCAAAAATGAGTTGTTGTGACCTACAAAAAGAGGTATGTACATATTTTACATAATACAGTATCTTAAAGGTCATTATTTACACACAATCTATTCACAGAAACACTGCGAAATTCTGATTCAGAATGTAGTAGCTGGCCTTGGGTTTGCTGAAGTTTATTTTCAAAAAGCATTATTGCTCTACCATATAGGCAAAGGGTGACACCAGTACTTTCAGAACAAATCACAGTTCTTGTCCAACAGACTTGTTTGGACAAAAACCCAGGCGTGTGGTTCACCACTCCTCAAGACCTCAGGAATATTGCATTCGTCCATGACTTTTTAAATAAAGTGCACTCAGCTGCACGTGAGCGTGTGAAGAACCTGCTACCGCTGCTGTTCAACATGTTGGCTCGCCCTCCCTCCTGCAGAGCCACCCGACATCAACGGCAGTTCCTGGAGGTGAGGGCTACAGGGCAGCAGGGGCAGATGAAACTCCTCGTGAGGAGAACCCCGAGGCCAACAAAGAGCAGGACTGAGAAACTCAACACTGTAATCAAAAGAACCCAGAATGCCAATCCCACTAGGACAAAGGCCAGCCCAGGACTACTCATCGTGACAAACACACCTAAAGGCCGAGCTCACGCTCTCCATCCGACACCGCAGCCTGAGCTGTTCAGTCTCGGTGTCTGCAGTGCCCTCTGGCCCTCCGTGGAGACAAGGCCGGGGGAAGGGACACTGAAGGCTTTCCCGGTGAGGAGCACTCCGGGTCTCCAGACTCCCAGCTCCAGGAGGCAGGAGGCCACAACCACGTGTCTGTTCTGAACACCATGACACACAGAGGAGGAAAAAGGGGGGGACATAATCAGGTAGATATTGCACTTCAGCTTAAAATGCAGCCCTGCTCAAATGACAGCACTTGGAACGCCCTTGACGGAGATGAAGCCGGCCCTTCCTTCAAGGCTGGATGCCTGAAACAGTGATTCTTTACCTCCCGACAGTGCACAGGCACCCTCAGCTGTACAGTGGTGCCCTTGGACAGCCTGGGGTAGAGGTGTCAGCAGTATTTCTGTTACAAACAGGAGAGACAGGAGTAAATCGTATGCTCACAACAGAAGAAGACTATACGTCTACAGTCGTGGCTGCTGCGTGGCTTTGGCTGACTGATTCAGTTCCTTAGATCCTACATTCCCAAGACTATCTAATGGCCCAATACCCTCAAATGAGCAGTCTTTGAAAGTAAGACTGTACTTTTAAGTTACACATCAAGTTAAATTCACCACAGACGACCTTTAAACTGCTACTAAAGATTTGGTTCCTCCAGAGAACAGGAGAAACTTTTTAAAAAAGCAGGTAAGGAACGGACCACCATACCTGATCAGGACCCATGGGCATGCCAGACATGGGCACCGAGTTCATGTTCATCTGTCCCATGTGACCACCGCTGCCATTCATGTGCACCATACCGTAAGCCCCAAGGCTGCCCTGGTGGGGAAACTGCTGCTGGGAAAAGGCGCTGTGGAGAAAGAGCAGAGTTACCTGTGGACCCACTTCAGCGACACAGAGCGCACACACAGAGCATGACAGTCCTGTCAAACGCAGCGACACCCCCCCCGGCAGCATCCAGTCCGCTTCTCAGCACTGCCCGTGCTCAGCACCCCAAGGGGCACGTGCACAGAAGCAGAGTCTCGACTTGGACAAGCCAAGGGCACATTTGCTAACAGGAACCCAGGCCCTGTGATCCTCTCCATACAAACGCACTGGACTGGAGACTGAAGATCAACTTCCTGGACTTGTCGGCACCAGAATGTGAATGGCGTCTAAGGCCACTGCTCCTCACCTGTTCCTGGCCAAGTTTCCTGACGGCCAGCCCTTCATTTCCGAGGACTGATACATCGCTGCAGTCTGAGGGTGCTGTGTCATGGGGTTCTGGGAGGGACCCATTCTCGATGACATCATTGCACTGGGAGGACTAGACACTCGACCAAAGGCTGGATCAGGTTGCTGGCCCATTCCTTTTTAAAAAAAAAAAAAAGGAAATTGCAATGCTACCTCCTCAGAATAGCAGCTCTTTATACATTAATTTTATTTAAGGGAAAAAAAAAAAAAAGAGGTGGGGTGGGGTGATAAGATATGAAGTGCTGCAAGAGGCTGTCCTGGTTATTCCTATTCCTCGTCCAGAAGGCATCTAGCAGGAGAGGTGGCCTACAGAAAGGCACGCTGTTAGAGCACTCCCAGGGAGTCCTTTCCTGGAGCTCTGTATAAAAGGGCCTCTAATCACTCTACTCACATCAGTCCGTGACCCTAAGGGGCAAAGGAGCTATGCTCACTGGGGAGGACTGTACCCTGAAACGTCATCTCCCCCACTAAGTCCCACTCCCTACCCCACATTCCTGGAACCTCTCAAAGGCTGATTATTGTAACTAATGACAAATCCAAGGCACCAAGAAAGGGAACTTAAATCTCTCACTGACTTGACCAAGAAAACAAACTTGTAGTCCTTCCAAATTTGAGGGAGGGAGCGGAAAAACAACAAGGCCGAAGACGAGGCTCCAATGTGACACGGGGCACCTGCCTCAGTCACCCGTGCCCTGCGGCACTTTAGCTCCCCGTTATTTCAGTCAGTCCCTCTTTCTTGTGCATTAACCAGGAGTCAGCCGTATCCGTGTTTATTTTTAATGTGCGACAGACCCAGGGACTCTTCCGTCCTTAGGAACGCGACTGCCAACTTTACCGTAGTTTGGTGGGTACGGGAACGGCTGTGGTGGCACTTGTGGCAGCACGGGTCCTGCCAAAACTCCGTCCATGCTGGGGGAGGCGGTCACGTTCGGGGGTGGGCTGAAGGCCTGGGGCTGCGGCGGCGGCGGCTGCGGCGGCTGCATCATCATCGCCACCCTCTGCTGCCGGAAGTGGTGGCTGAGCAGCTCCCTGCTCCGCTGGGCGACCATCTGGGCATTGAGAAAGCCCTGCTAGTGCCCAAGAAAGAAGGCAGTTGTACACGCAAACCAAGAGCCAATCAGCTGCATGCATACAGCACCCCCACAATGCATTAGGAGTCATTGAGAGAACACACCCCACAGTGCCTTTCCTTATAATTAAAGGAAGCAGAAAGTGTCTGCTCCTCTTTCCAGTACCGGCCTCTGGCAAGTGGGGGGCAGGCGTGTGTGTACGTGTGTGAGCGGCTTAGGAGGGTTGAGAGCCAAAGTGAGTACAAGCAGCCATCAAGCTTTACCAGTTAGAAACCCTCCTCAAAGCAAGAGAACCTTTAGGGCAAGAGCCTGAGGACAAGCTTCAGAGACTAGGAAACAAAACTAAGAAGGAAAGAGCAGAACTGAAACGGAGCTGGGGTGGGTGGTGACCCAAGGAGGGAGGTATAAGGGTGGGGCTGCACTCAGGTAAGCAGGAGAGGAGAGGTGAGGGCAGAAGTTGGAGGTAAGTGCGCCAGGTGGCCAGCACTGGAGGAGGGGACGACTGGCTGCGCTGCTGCCCCCAGCACCTCCAAGGAGCCCACCCTGACTCTGTCTTTGTGCAGGGCATCCTGGCTCAGCCTCCCCAGGAGGCTGATGACCGAGAACATGCAAACTGGCAGCACTCCACGTAGGCTCAGCGCGTGAAAATGGGGCATTTCACACGTGTCTGCTCTGTTGTTGTTCGAACTGCAAGTACGAATCCCGTCTCAAAGCACAGCAGTCCTGCCCATACTCATCAGGAAAATGCCATGACGCTCTCTGCTTCTGGCCGAAGAACTTTCCCCCCAGCCCTCACGCTGGGAACAGGCCACCCCAGAGGCTGTCGGAGGCAGCGCCAGGTACTGCCTATTGTCTTGTCTCGGTTAATCATCTCAAAACGTTACCCACTGAACACGTGGCTTTATCATCCAGGAAGACAGAAGTTTAGCGATTTATTATTTTAAATTCTTCAAAGTAGTAACTCTTCTCAGAGCACTACAATTGATGACAAAGGCAATTAATAAAAAAACCCCACTGATCCGTGGTTGTAATGAAGGAACCACCCCTCCTATTTCCTCCTGGTCACCAGAAAAAGAGAAGAAATGAAGGGAGGAAAGAAATGGGGAATGGGACTGTGGCACTGTGTCTTACACAAAAAAACTGCAATCACGTTGTCCTTAACAACATTTGCTGGGAAGCAGACAAGGGCCAGGCCCTGGGCTGGGAGCTGGGGATGCCGCAGTGAACACAAAGACATCTGTCATTCTCACCTGTGCATTCACCTGGGGCTGCATCATGGGCCTTATCACCCCAGCGCCCCCCGCAGCAGGGTTTTCCATTTTCATTTCAAGCGCCTGGCGGTTCTGATTCAAAAACTGAGGGCAGACAAGTCAGCAGGACGTCAGTGGCACGTGCCAGAGAGCCCCACACTGCTTCCCCAATCCTTAGCCCACCCAGTGAGGCCCCAGCCGTATCTCCAGACCCGCTGACAGTCCCATCAGCAGCCATCCAAATCGAAACTGAACTAGCCAACTTTGTGGCATTAAGTTTTTTGAGCTGCCGCAGAGCTGTATTGTCTAGCACTGGGAAGAAAAGTGGAAGTGCAGTCCTGCAGCTTAGAGAGTATCTTCCCCAGGAACTGAAAGGATCCAGAAGTCAGGTCTTCTCTTGGCTTATTCAGGCACTCGCAGAACTGCTTTAACTGGACTGCAGAGAACCCTGAATAAACTACTTCTTCAGCTAGCTTTTCCTGGGTAATCTTTACTGGAAAGAAATGACCACAAGTAAAATGATCCCACGAATGCATTAACCCAGGCCTTCCTAGTCCCTGAATGAACTCGAAGGAACACGTACGCACTGGCAGAGCCTCTGCCCCCTAGATCTTCAGTTCACTCGCTCACTGCTCATGGGCTTCAGCCCCACCACATGTAACACCTGTTTCACTCGGACACAAACAATACGAATTATGAAATTCTGAAAGATTTGCTGGGATTAAGGAAACAATGAAAAAGTAGAAATCTCAGCTTGGAAAATTACAGGAGAATTCAAATGTTATAAAACATCTAGAAAGCAGAGGTTCTGTAAAAAATGCTGAAATCAAGGAGCATTTTTAACTATTTGGTTCTCAAAGCCTTTACAATGTAAATCATCTTACCTTTAAGGCTACAAAATCACCAAGAAATACTTCTCTTTTCCCTCAAGAACAATCCTCTGATTTTCTTTTTAACCTTCTAACCTGTGCAGTGGTATACCCAGAAAATGGTGAACAAGCCTACCAGAACCACCCTCCAACACAGAACTGTCTGTACAAATAAAATCTCACCGAGAAGAGAAACAAGAGGAATTGTTTTCACTGATAAGGAATAGAGAACCTGTGGGTACTGGGCCCAACTGCCCCTCCAAGTCTCCATCAAACCTTTAAGGAACACAGTCTGAAAATAAATGGAAGAAGGGAGGCCCAAGGGAAAGTGACTTCCAGCCAAAGCAGATCATGTGACTAGTTACCTGCTGACCCTGCAACCTCTGCTGAAGCTGCATCCGAAGTTGCTTGGGGGTGTTTGTCCGGGGTCTCATGATGTTGGCCCGCGGATGAATTCCTTGCAGAGGAAAGCTGCCTTGCTGGCTCATCTGGTTCATCATAGAGTTGAAAGACGCTGATTGTCCCTGAAGATTAAAGCCTCCTTGCATTGGAGGCCCCTGTGCTGGGTACGTCTGCCCATATAATGCTGCCTTCTGATCCACCATGACTGCTGCTTCTTGGCCTTGAAAAGGTTCCTGTTTGGGCTCCAAAGCTTGGCCCTTAAATATCAAACACATAAGATGAACAGTCAACATGTGAGAAAGCAATGCCTTAAAAGAGGGGTAGAAATAAAGTCGATCCATGTACATGGTGATGATAAGGATGAGGCTGCAGAATTCCAAAAGCAAATGAAGTTTTCCGTTTGACTGAAGCTCCATAAAGACACACACCAGATCCCACTCCTTCACGGCTGGGTCCCAGTGCCTCGCACCAGGTCCCACACACACAGACCCTCCAATACACACTGAGCCAAGTACCTAAAAGCTATTAGGTCTCTGGAGAAACACCCTTTGTTCCAGACCAGAGTCAACACCAAAATGGGCTTCCCAAGACAACTGTAAAATAAAAAAATCAATCACAATCACTGCGGTTAATGAGGTCTCACATAATTTGCACATGAATCTTTTTGAAAGTAGCAAGAAGTAACTGTAGTAGAGAAAGGAAAGTCAACAAAAGCCCACGTCCACTGATCATAGCTTAATGAGGGTCATCCTCCACGACTGACATGGGCAAGGGGGTTCATTAATTGCCTGTTATGTGCCACTCGTCACTTCTCTACATGCTAAGGACATGTATGGATTCAACTGTGTCCCCAAAAAAGTGAAGCCCTAATCCCATTAAACAGTGAATTTGAGTTTGGATCTTTCTTTAAAGACATTATTAGTTAAGTTAATGAGCCCATAGTAGAGCAGGGTGGGTCCTAATTCAGACTGGAGTCTTACAAAAAGACAAGAAAACATGGGAGACAGGGACACAGGCAGACACCATGGGACAAAGGGCAGCCAGGACCACTGACAGCCACCAGAAATCAGGAGAGGGGCGTGGAGGTTTCCCGCGCAGACCCCCGAGAAGGAACCAACATGGCTGGTAAGTTGGACTTCCAGCCTCCAGAGCTGTGAGACAGTAATTTCTGTTCTTCAAAGCCCACACTTTGTGGGGTTTTGTTACTGCAGCTCTCAGAAACTGAGGATATGTACAAAGTAACACCCATCAGATGATACAAAGAAGTGACCGTCAACATGTTAAAGGGGAAGAGGAGCCCGCCGTGAGCAGACATGGGGCTGCACTCACCTCTCTCTCATGCTCGGGGCTGGGATGCCAGGCCTGCAGTCAGCGCCCTCTGTAACTCCTGCCTGAGCACACGGCACTCTGCTGTCCCCTGCCACTCCACTTCTCCGGCCTGTCACGTGTCAGCGTGCAGCCTAGGCCACCTTCTCTTTTCTCACTACACTCTCTACTTGGGTGTTCTCAGCCCCTGGTGACAACTGCCACGTTTTCATGTCCGACCCAAACTTCTCGGAACTCAACTTGGCTCATGCAAACACATATCTAACATCTTTGTTTGGATGTCTCAGGCCTCTCAAGCTTAGCATGTGGAAAACACAAGTCTTTTACAGCAGAATGAATGAAACAAGACCTGAATCACGATACAGCATCAGGAAACAGCAAACGTGAAAGATCCCAAATAATTCAAGGAGAAGAAATGATGCACATGCAGAAGAACAGGAAGGAGACCAGCTCAAGGCTCAATGAGGACACGGCCACCATGAGGTATGAATGTCAGGAAACCACGGAACAATCCTTTTAGGAAACAGGATCCAATATAGGAGGATGGTGACAATTACAAATTTCTAGACCTGCTTCATAAGGTCGGCATAAACAGGGAAAACAGAACAACAGGAAGGAGAGAAGGAGTTAATGGGTCACCTAAGGTGCCTGAACATGTGAAGGAAGACAGGACTTTTAGAGTTGTGTGCTGCAGTATCTGGGGGAGCATTAGCAACAAACACATAATAAATTAAGCAAATACACAGAGAAGACAATTAATAAATAAATACATAATAAAAGCTACATAGGGCGCTCCAGTGGCATGTGCGTAAGGCACGTGACTGCTAACCAGAAGGCTGGTGGTTCAAACCCACCAGACTCTCCTCAGAAAGGAAGGTTGGGCAATCTACTTCCGTAGTGATACTGTCTTGGAAACCCAAGGAGGGTCACTATGAGTCAGGTCTGACTCGATTGGCAGTGGTTGCCTTTGCCCTTTTTTTTTTTTTTTTTAGGTAACACAGCAGTTAAAATATCCAGCTGCTAACCAGAAAGTTAAGGAGCTCCCAGGCTGCTGTGGTTAACTCGCTTGCACCAAAAGGTTGGTGGTTCAAACTCCCCAGTCACTCCATGGGAGAAATATCCAATCTGCTTCCAGAAAGATTTGGAACCTTATGGGGCAGCTCTACTCTGTCTTACAGGGTCACTATGAGTTGGAATCAACTCGTAGTTTTGTTTTGGTTTACCATTTAATGTGAGCCTATGTAAGTTTGTGAATGAAAGGGGCCATACCAAGCACAACACGCAAGACCCCTGAGGGCGTATGTGTCCCACTAATTGTATCAAAATCCGTATTACCTCAAACTTTTCCCCGTTTAATTCAAAGTGCCTTTCTTTACTGAACACACGTGGTTTCAACAACAACAAAAATTCAAAGCAGAAAAAAATTTGATCTTCAAAGTGTTTAGAAGTTCTTTGGCAGTGTTTATCATATTGCATCTTATTTCCTTGTGTACGTGTTTGTCTCCCCAAAAAGTGAGAATCCCCTGTGTGCGTTCCTGCTTCTCCTTAAGGCAGAGACCTACACAGTGCTCCAGTTAAAAAAAGAAAACACTCCAAAATGTATCTTCTTCAAAAACACAGATCTGTCAATGGCCTGTTTTCATATGGCTAGGTACACAATTAGGAAGGAAAGATGATGCTGGGATGTTCACAGAACCCCACTGTAAATGGAACTGGATTCTATAAACACTGGAATGTACAGTGGTTGCTCAGGCAGTAGAGAGAGAACTGTAACAAAGAACTCATCACTAAGTAAAAGGCTGCATTTTAAAAAAGCTGCTAAAATTTGACATCTTCACAAAATAGTAGTTTGCTAGAAGTGGTATCACAATTATGGAGTGTGTTTTACCATGTTTATGCTGGTATCATGAATGCCGTGATGTAACCCAGTAATGAGACACATATACAGATATTCTCATGCACGGGTTCATACACACACATGCATGTACACACACTCCCCTCCATCCCACCGCCATTAATGCTACCTACTTGATTGACAAGTTCAGGGATGCCCAGAGCTCTGTCAATCTCTTCCAGGCCTGTGGCATCTGTGTTGCTCAGGAGAGTGTGCAGCTGGTCCAGCAATGCCCTTTCTTCACTCTGGCCTTCCAGGTTAGACGGTGACCCAAGGAGATCATCCAGGGAACTCCTAAGAAGTGGCCTGAAAAGAGACTTGCAATCACTTTCAATGGTGCTTTATTTTTTTATTTTTTTTTTTAGGAAAAAGAAAAAAAAAAATCCACAGTTACCATAAGCAACACTTTTAATGTACAATAACTCAAATACTACAAGGTTAAATGATAAAGCAACTCAGTAGCAGAGAAGAGAGAGTGCAAAGGACAGGAATTTAAATTCAAGGTCCTCAATTCTACAACCCCACCCAACCATCCTCATCCATCTTTGCCAGCAGATCTAGGAGCCAATCCTACCACCCAAATGTACTTCCCAGACCCTGGCTATCTGGGAAACAGCAGAGATTGGAAGTTAGACTGTGATCCAAAGTGAAAATAACAGGTGGCTCCTTTCATGCAAATAAGCTACCAACCAAGCCAAAAAAAAAAAAGAAATACAGACTTAGCCCACAACCCCTGAAAAGTTTTAAATAATTTTAGAAAGAAATTATCCTATCCTAAAATATGAATTTTCCAGAAAACTGAGACTTGCCCTGTGAATACCATTAATAAAACCAGTAGCAACATATTCTTATCTTCTTAAACTGATGCCAACTTATCCTCTACTTCATGGCATTATTATCATCACGAGCAACAATCATCTCACAGAGACTCTCCAAGGCTGGCCTCTGAGCCATCCTGCAGCTAACTAACAGGCAGAGGTCTGGTTTTCCCTCCCATGAATGCTTCTGCTCGCCGCCTCTGCCCCATTTTTTCATATAAAATCACCACAAAATACAGTTCATTCCCGACTCTGGCCTTCTTCTAGATCATCTCATTTTTCAAAGAGTCACAAAATAAAGTCCCACCTATTCTGAGTTGTATGAAGGCCTTGTTCCATGGACAACATGCCATCTGGCCAGGGACCTGGTTGGTTAGATGGTGCTGCTTGGCTGTAAGGACTGACCCCCATTCCCACGGGAATCTCACCAGGCCCTGGGGAAGCAAAAAGAAAGTATAAGTTTTCAAATACGCCAATGGTAGCAATTACTCTAAAACGCCTAATTTTCTTTTTATAACAAAGAGGAGGCTTACTCATTTGAAGCATCTGCTGCTGCTGTTGCTGCTGCTGCTGCTGCACTGGCCGTGTGCCTGGGATGCTATTGGACCGAGCAGGCAAGATGGGCATGGAGCCGGCCATGGCAGGTCTGGGTAAAGAAGCACTGTAATCTGCTCCTGGTCTCCCCAGGGAGTTTGAGCTCATAGGTTCCATTCTGCCAGCCTTTGAGTTTGGTAAGCCCCAGTCTGCTGGGGAAGAAGTCTGATTCACAGTCACATTCCGGTTTGGTCCACCTAAAGTAGGGGAAAATGATTAGGTCTTTTCGTAGTACTGTGGAATCATTCACATACCACTTGTCACCCCAAAAATAGGGCTGAACGACTAGGGAAACGTTTTTGATAAGCTACTCTTCCCATCTATTCACTACAGGTTAGAAAATGCCTTAAACTAAGAGCCCTGCTGAGGGTTTAGACAACTAAGACATAGACAAAATGAAGGATACTAGTGAAATAAACATTATGCTAATGTTACGTAAAAACCTATTCTAAAAAAAACCCAGTAATTGCCATTGAGTTGATTGTTACTCACAGCAACCCCCACTGGGTTTTAAAGACCATAAATCTTTACGGAAGCAGACTGCCCCATCTTTCTTCCATGGAGCAGCTGGTGGGTTCAAACCACCAACCTCTTAGTTAGCAGCCACATGCCTTAACCACTATACCACCACAACTCCTTGATTTAAATCATGATAATAATAATAATAAATTCCAATTATTTAAATAGTTTGAGAATTTTGAATTTGCTTTTCCCCAAAAGAAATTCTTAAAAGTTACTCATTAGAAATAGCATACCCATATTTGAGCCATAATTCTCCTGATTATCCATCATTCTTGGATTCCCACCCAACACGGGTTGCTTCGGTAACATAGGGAAAGCACTGACGTTCTTCACTGGGGGGCTTGAGCCCACAGACACCGGGCTGTCTAGAGACACTGCTCGGGTATAGGCAGGACGAACGGACTGCACGGGCTGTGGACTTCTCAAACCTGTTGAAAACATACAAGTACGATGCATAAATATTCCAACGATCCAAGACACAAATAAAATACAAGACATAAACACCACCAGCACCCACCAAGAATGCCTTCCTTACAAAACAAATACCGTCTTCCTTTACAAAATAAAAAGAACAAACAAAAATAAAACCATGCCTCATATTCCAAATGAAGTAGAGACAAGAACCTCAGTGTTGACTCAAGTACTAGACAACGGTCAATGGCCTGCCATGGTCACTCACACTCTGCTTCACCCCATATTGAAAAGTCTACTAATGGTTTAAGCTCTTGCACATGCATACTTACCAAGCGGCTTCTCTCAGACAAGGAATGAAATAGAAAATTTCCTCCTAACATTGTCTTTTCCTGACCAATCCTTTTGACTGATTTGACAGTGCATTTCACTTTAGGAAATTTCATTGAAAATGAATGACCATCCTTTTGGATAACTGTGAATTATTCTTTTTTCTACTGATTATACACAACATATCCATGTTAAATTGATGGATGGATAAATATACAGCAATAAGAGGGAGGTCTGGTAGGACTAGCAAACACCAAAAAGGAAAACTCAGTTAAATGACAAGATTCCGTAAATGTCAAAGCACACGTTTTAACCTATACCTTTGGTTGTTCTGTTTTTTTTTAATCCAGCACTCGTGGCTAAGAAAAATATGCACCAGCACCTACGACTCATCTAGAACAGCAAAGATAAACACGTTCTTGTAACTGTTGTGTCTACTACATCATATTTGTGATAGGAAACAACAAAAAGACAGAAAAATGCTCAGACAACTTTTTAAAATACATACATTATAAAATAGTGTAGGAAACTGAGAGGCAGGTATGTTTTTAAGTTATATGGGTTAGTTGGATCCTGGCCTTAGTGTAAGAGGGCGTACAAGTGTAGGGAACCCCTTAAAAGCCAACAAAAATAACATCTACTTCTTTCCTTACCCAGAGAATTAGCTCCTTGAAACATATGTTGCTTGGTTCCCAAACTGGTACTATTGGTAGGCATTGGATTATTGTAAAAGTCAGAACCAGTCAGATCACCAAGAATAGCATCTAAATTATCCAAGTCTCCAGGTCCCTGGAAATAAATTATCAAAAAAATTGATCTGTGTATCACTAGATACATAAGTCTAAACATATTTATCAAAATAAAATATGTCAAGTGGAAACAAGTAAAATACAGTATTCACCTAAGATGATAGTGTCCAACTTAAAGCCTGCTTTATCATGGTCCCTGTTCCTAGTCTTCCTCTCGACTAATGGTGTAAAGTACTGAGGGAAAGCACTTCTGTGACTGACATTAGACATTAAACCAACTCTCACACTGGGGGGTATTCTCCAGTCAGCATTAATCACCAGCACTAAATCAGCCCATCGAGATGTCTGCAGCTACATGGAACTTCCGGAAGCACTGATGAGTAATACAGCAACAAGCTGATGATCCACGGGGTGTTCACAAGTGAGCTCCAAATGGCTGTTAGTCAATAAATGTGGCCAACAGCAGGCTACAGAAAGCTACGCAAGTATCCTGTGTGCTCCAAGCCCCTGATCTGCTCAGAGGCACAGAACAGCTCCTGGAATCACACTCCTCAAGCAGAGTTTGGGAAACGCTTATGCAGAATGTGGTCATGTATATAAACTTGATTTTTGAGCAAAAATCCAAATTCGTTGCTTAAACTAAAACTCACTTCCTTTGTACTTCTACCACACCCTTGATGGACCATCCTTCTCATTTCAACAATACCTCACATGAAACTTTTCAGAACTTGCCACTCAAGAGTTGACCCTACACTGCATCATAATATACAGCACTGATGTCCAAACAAAGAACCAATGACTCAAAATTAATGTCCATTAAACAATCTTAAAAGGGAAGATAAGAATTTGTGTATACTGCATTAACACCAAAATGCATGATCACTAAACTGGAATGTACAGAAAAATTACCTCTTCATTTGCTTCTGTCTTCATTTTAGAGTCCTTTTCTTGACTCGAGGTAGGAATGGTGGAGTTGCCACAGTGACTCATTTTACTATCAACGCCTTCCACTTTGGGCTGTAGCTCTTTAGAGAGGGTGTCGCTAGGATCATCCCGATCCAGCAGGTATCTAAGAAGTGCATTATTTTCCTTCTTCTTAGGACTTAGCTGCTCCTGCTTGACATTTCCTTCCCCACAGGAAGCTGTACTATTGGTATCTCTCCCAGTGGCCTCTGCTGTAATCTTGGCTACTTCGGCTGGCGAATTCCCATTCTGCAGCAACTTGTGCAAAATTCGGTGTTTCTTTTGCAACAGCGACCCGTGCATATTGGATGTGGAGGACACGCCTCCAGAAGTGGAAGAAGAGACTCCAGAAGGGCTGGTGACACTAAGGGATGAGTCTTTACAACTGGAATCCAGGGGAGAACTGGTCAAGGAGGAATGACCCCGGTCATCCGAAGAATAGGTAAGCAACTGCAGTAACTTTTTATGACCTTTGCTTTCCAGAGGACCCCGTGGACTCTCTGACCCTTCCACAGTGCTCTCTTTACTCTCTTTGTCGCTGAGGTGACCCCTGTTATTTGACTGACACAGTGAGCTCTCCACTGGGTTCTGGTCACGATATGCACCTAGGGGACTCTTGGAATCCTGGCTGCTCACTTTACTTGGCTGGGCAATACTCACACTGGGAGAGTTATCTAATTTGGGGCCTGGTGAAGAGAGAGTAGATAAAAGAGAAGTCCCCACACCCTCACTGATAGCCTGCAGGGCGCTCAGAGAGCTGCTGGAAAAACTGTGGCTCCCGGTATTGCCCGAAGATCCCATGGGAGAATGCACACCTGGATTTGGAGAAGGAAAATAAGATTATCATAGTACAACAAAACACCACTTTACTCTTCAAATTTCTATTGTGAAGGGATTTGACTGTACAAGAATTACGATGGGATGGAGAGACAACAAGAATGAATGAAGAAGAAAAGGAAGTGCCAACCCAGATACCTGCAACAGGAGAAAACTGATGTGCGGCCATCTTTGGACTCCCACGAGTACGAGGCGAAACCATGATACTCTGCTGGCTGGAGCCAAGACCAGGACTTCCATGGGGGGGGCTGCTCATGCTGAGACCATAGCTGCTGTTCTGATAGGAAGAAGGTGACTGCCCGGGGTTCATGGAAGCAATGTTACTGGAAACCCCATACCTAGCTCCGCTCACTTGCCCTGTGCTGCTGGGGTCTGACAAGCCATAGGTTCTGCTGCTCAGCATCTGTAAGCCCTGGTTTGGCGACATGTTCATGCTGCCTACTGAACTGTTACATCCAGCCACTGGCGGTCTAACACCTTGTCCAAGAGGGTTTGAGTTTGGTCTATACCCATTCTGTTCTCTGCAAAGAAACACAGAATCAAACTCGCACTAAAAAAATGACAAGCATGTATCAAAGTTCTGAATCAGGTAAGCCAGGGATGAGCTTAAATGCACAGGGCCTTCACTTCTTCCACACGCTGTGAACGCCTGGTGATGATCCCACTCCACAGATTAACCTTCCAGTAGCCTAATTACATATTCGTGTTGTTTTACAAGCTGCAGAATCAAAATGAATTGACACCACAGCACCAAGAAGGACCAACAACTGTGTGAGAAGGGCCAACAGCTTGTCCTCGTCCTAATTATGTGCTGATGAGTCAATTTTGATTCAAAGCATCCCTGTGACAAACCAGAACCGCCCCACAGAGTTTTCTTGGCTATAATCTTCACGGAAGCAAACTGTCAGAAGTCTTTCTCCCACGCAGCCACTGGGCAGGTACCGTCTGCCAGCTCCTCAGTTGGCAGCCCAGCACGTAACCACTGCACCACCAGGGCTCTTAGCAGCACATAACTGGAGCTGTCAAGTATCTAAGAGTGGCAGGTGGCAGTGCCTACAAATCACCCAAGAGGATGAACAGTGAATGTCTGCCTTCAAGTGGTATTCATGAACCATTAGCAACACTAACTATCATTTATACTTAAAAGTGAGATTCAAATTTTTAATTTAATCCTTAAAAGCAACATAATGTAGTATCAGAAATGACAGGTAACAGAGGTGGCCGGATTTTATATGCTCTTTCACTCTCTAGACTTCCCATCTCCCAGCTTTCTCAGGAAGTAATTACTTAATGAACAAATACTCATTTTCACAGAAAAATATAGCCTTAAAAAAAGTACAAATCAGAATCCAGAAATCTAAACTCACTTCAGCAAATCCAATGATCTTCAGGCTTTTTCTCTTGCAAAATTTTCAGTTTTTCACATTAATAATGAAGTATCTTGAAGAATACTTTTGCATTTAACGTAAGAATTCACAAAAATCTGTAATTACCTCTGAAGAAAGTGGGTGGAGACAAAGCCATGGCGGTCATTTGTTACGGGATTTCGGAAGAGTTTGCTTTTTGTCTGTGCAGTCACTACAGTCCCATCAGCCAGAGAGAATCGATACACGGGGGTTTCTGCGTGGCCATGGATGTAAGCTGTTGGGAAAAATCTCTCAGTACTAGTAAAAACAATCAGCAAAATAAACACATGTAGGAGAGAACAAGAAAATATTCTTCAAGCATATTTTCAAGATCTAGCGGAACACCGATTCTGCACCAAAATCAAGAAAATGCTAACATATTAACACTTAAGAATCATTCTTCTGGAAGACTGAGAGGTACAGACAACAAAGATGAACCCTTTTGCACGTACAGTACTGCATTGTCAGTGAAGGCAGACACCTGACATTCAGGTGGACAGATGGGTGGACAGGCTGAACTATTAGGTACGTCTACGCAGGGGGGAGTGTGCCCAAGACCATGTAAAGGGTTGGCAGACAATGTTTCTACAAAATGTATTTGTATGTTCTGTAAGAATTCCCAGATATGTGATAGAGCTGACAAGGGACAAGGTTGTAGTCACTTCTTGGCCACAGCCAGCTACCCGGAGGGAGAAAGTAGTTAGACCTGTGGGCCCGGGACCATAGTTACAGAGGACATCAAGCTCAACTGGCATATATACTACCCAAAAAACATTATTCTACCTCCTACTTCGGTGAGTAGTGACTGGGATCTTAAAAGTTTGTAAAGGGCCATCTAGGTGCAATGATGGGTCCCTTCTAATCCAGAGCAAAGAAGAATGAAGAAAACCAAAGACACATGGAAACAAATTAGGTCTAGTGACTGGTACACCTGCAATCCTCAGCCTATAAGACTATGAGACCAGACCTAGATGATACATGGCTACCACTGTCAACCACTCGGAGGAGGATCTATGTAGGAGATCCTGGATAGAGTGGGAGAACAAAACTCAAAATCACTAAAAAAAAAAAAAAAAAGGGTGGGGGGTGGGGAGAGACCAGGTTTGCTGGCCTGATACAGCCTGATGGAACCATTGAGACTACGGCCCCCAGCTGTCCCTCAGGTCTGGAATTGAACCCACTCCTGTGGCTTCCAGCCAAACAAAAGACAAGCATGTGAGCTGAACATTTACATTAGATGGATAGACTCCTTGGAGAAATCAATTATGTGAGAATAGAAAGGCTGTATATGCACAGGAGACAGTTGGGGGGCAGAAGTGCATGGGAGGGAAGAACACAGGGAAGAGGGAACTACAGGGAAGA